AAAAATAGGAATTTAAAAAATAAATTATAGCATTTGCAACTGCACATTTAACGCTTGCAGTGGAATTTTCAAGCGTTACAAACTGTTTCATATTCACCTACACACACACAAAACCACTCGTTTGCCACACGCCTGCGGATATGCAAGCTACTTCAGTTTGGGTATGTGTGTGTCCTTCTTCACTCACCTACGCTTTGGAAATTCTGCTTAAAATTCTTATAATGGCACGTTGTTCACACGAAAGTATAGTGTGTTCGAAAAAAACGCACCGCAACAATATACACACTTACACACCAAACGACAATGCAGTTGGCTAACGCTTGATTTCCTGCTTCACTTGCTTGCTTCCGTTAAAACAATGTAATATTCTCGCATACGCTTTATCCCGCTCTCTCTCTCTCCAGCTTTCGCTTTTCTTTCCATGGTTGTGTTCTTTCAATTCCTACGCACGCTGTCCTAACGCAGTGCCTTTGGGTGTGTGTGTGTTTGTGTGTGGAGTTTCAGTGCTTTTAAACGGGCACCGCATAGTCCGGATTCACGTAGGAGAAGCCTACAAATTCCGTTTGATCCAAATTCATCATAAATACTTTATCCGTTGGTGTCAGATCCGTTTTCTCCGAAGTGAATTGCTTATCGAAATTCGAGACATCTTTGCGATGTTTCTGTGTCCCCGGGTGTGTGTGTGTGTGCGTTGCGAAGGTATTTCCATATTAATTTCACATAGCGAAGTGTGTCAAAAAGAGAAAAGAAGATAATATTGGCGAAATAATCAAAAGCATGAATTAAGGTTTTGAAATGTTTTTCTTTGTTTTTGCTCTCACTTACAATTTTCGGCTTAAATGGCGGTTGCACTTCGCGATTCTCGATTTTCTCCCAATCGATTCGTCGGAAGAACGGATGTATACGCACATCCGCTTCGCCGGTGGGCCCACAACCGAGACGTTTATTCGGTTGCTTGGTGAGGAACTGCAATAAGAACCGAAATGTAGGAGGTGAATTTAATTAGTTTAAAATAAATAAAACATACAAATCAAGTGAAATTGTGTGGGTAATGGCGTTCGGAGTACACTGTATTTTTTCATGTCRCATTACCCCGAATCTTTCGAATTAAGTCAAAAATGAGATTATTCGATGGCAGAAGCGTTATATTTTGATTAGCTTTCTGCGTCCTTCTACACAGMTGTTTTATTATACTTTTATAACGTTATGTTCTTTTATCTCTTATGATGAAGCAAGGGCTAAACCAAAAACTTATTACTTCTTGGTTATTCTCTGGTTTACGTCGAATGATTTTCGGAAATGAGCAAAGACGAAGGTAGAGAACACGAACCAATATCTTRGTGTATTTAAGACAAGTCGGAAACTTTCTTAAAGATTATGTGCAGTTTGAAGGATGATTGGAATTCTAAATATCCATAATACATAATAGGTCTCCTTAAGCCTTTTCGTTTGTCACGRCTATGTATAAAGCGTTAGAGAGCTCGTATCTGGCAATACTATACATCTTTGGAAAGGTCTTGACATAACCTACAAAACGACGCTATGCATGATTAGTTTGATTATTGCGCTGTCTCTTATACACATCTAGATGTGTATAAGAGACAGATACATAATAGGTCTCCTTAAGCCTTTTCGTTTGTCACGACTATGTATAAAGCGTTAGAGAGCTCGTATCTGGCAATACTATACAGTTTTGTAAGGTCTTGGCATAACCTATGACCTGTCTCTTATACACATCTAGATGTGTATACCGAAACAGTGGCCAAGCCAGTATTGTTTGGTGGTATTGGAAGGGAATCATTCACTATGAGCCTGTCTCTTATACACATCTAGATGTGTATAAGAGACAGATATTGTTTTGGGGGATGCCAAGCCAGTATTGTTTGGTGGTATTGGAAGGGAATCATTCACTATGAGCTGCTCCGATATAGCCAGACGTTTAACTATACCATCTACTGCGAACAACTGGACCGCTTGAAGCAGGCGATCGACCAGAAGAGTCCAGAATTGGCCAACAGGAAGGGAGTAGAGTTCCATAAGGATAACGCCAGACCACTCACTTCGTTGATGACTCGTCAGAAGCTACGGCAGCACTGATGGGAGGTTTTATTGCATCCATCATATATTTCGAATATAGCGCCAAATGATTACCACCTGTTCCTGTCCATGGCGAACGCCCTTGTTGGTGTAAAGGTGAACTCAAAAGAGGCTTGCGAAAAGTGGCTATCAAAGTTCTTCGCAAATAAGGAGGGGGGTTTTCTACGAGGGGGGTATCCTGAAGTTGCCGTCTAGATGGATCTAAATCTGATCACTGTAACACTTTTATAAAGCATTGAAGAAAGAGCAAAAAGGCGGAAGGGAGATATTTGACAATCTAATATATGTTATTTTCTGGAATCCAACTCATATCATATTTGTAAACCCCACAACGGTCGTAAGCGACTGAGGAGATTATGTGCTGTCCACGGAATAAGGCATGGGCTCAAGCTCCATCGAAATAAAGTTAAATATTACAAGAAAGTATAATATAGTAAAAAACTYCGAGCAGAGCAGAGCATATACTKTTACAATTTTCTGGTATGGCTCTGCTATGGCTCCCGTCAAAATGAGAGCGGTAGCTATAGCATAGCAATAATTCTAGAATTTTGCTGCTACGGAGTAGTAAATGAAAAACCTGCATAGCACCTCTTGAACAAGAATACTTTACCATGCACGAGGACAAATAAACTTTTGATATGAACGTTGTAGAGTGTAATTTTTACTCTTCTGATGTCATGTGGGTTTTTGTTACGTTTTGGTGTGTTTTGGTACATAAAGTATACCGTACTGCGCAGCAGAATAGATGAAATCCCATTAGGAGGCACCAAAATTCACCTCGGCACTACAAGAGGCTGCCCACAGGGAGGAGTGCTATCCTCCCTGTTACGAAACCTGATACTGGAAGGCCGACTATTTTTTTTAACTCTCAATGGGATCCGCTGTTAAGGTTACGCTGATGACACTGTTTTTATAGCCAGAGGTGAGTTCGAGGATACTCTCTGCGACTTAATATAAAGAGCCAGATAGAGATATTAGTAATTCCAAGGCATGCGACATGCCAAGTTGCTAATGGGAGTTTATAACCTCAGCAGATTTCAATATGTAAATAACCTCACTTGGAACAAATTCAGACTACTTGTCGCACTCTACCACTGGCCACCTCAAGCTGAAAAAGTATTTATACACCAGAACACCTGTTAATAGACTAAATAGCAGTCTGCAGATGCAAGTTGAAGGCCCTTGGATCCATGTTTCCAAACAGGGATAACATCGCTTCGCTAGGGCCCAGCAGTATATTGGACTTTGTAAATATGCTGGATCTAGGTGAGTCTTTGTTATTTAGGAGAAGGCATAATAGACCTTAGGTCGTAGTGCATTCCTCGTTTATCAATCTAGTCTAATCTTATACCAAAATTTCAGCTATTTCTTTAAATAATTAAAGCTATAAGCCCCTTYAATTTTGAAAATAATAAAATCTGATTTTTATACATTTTAAATGGTATGCTCTGAAGTCTCCTGATCTTCAATAGCTCGTAATAGGGTTTGTTTGTTATGTTATATGAATAAACAAGTAGTACTGTTTTTGGATCATCGATTTCTTAATATCATCTCCATTCAATATCCTTAGTCGGACATTAGTTCGTGGTGAACGAGTGAACTGACTCTCAAAATTGTGTGTTTCACAGTCGGTGACCAA